GACTGGACCATGCTTTGAGGGAGGGCACACATGGTATAGAGACTGGTTGTGGGAAAATGGACTGGGGTATATTTTCCCAGGAGAAAAGTAAGACGGCGTCTCTTCTGCTTGATAGAAATTTTTTTCCCTTATTGAGACCCCAGTTTGGTTCTTGGTTAAGGATTCCTAGGGACAGACACATAGGGAGGCACGTGTAGAAGCAGAGGTCTGGGGGCTCTTGGAGAGGTAGGAGTGACCTTAGCCGGGTCAGCTGTCCTGAGCAGGGAACCGTAGGACCAGGGAGGGGCTGCCTCTTGTAGGAGCTTCGCCATGTCCATCTCCTCTTCCTTGTAATCAGAGTGGTCCTTTATGAAATGACTCTGAAGCAGGGCATTGGGCCAGCAGCCAGGCAGCTCTCTGAAAGACACAGAACCCCTGGCGAGGTAGTGCAGGACCAGTGGGTGCAGGTGGTGTGGGCTCGTGTTGTGGATGCAGATAGGGTGGGGCTGGGTTGATGGGTGCATTTTCAGGGGGCCTGGACCCATGGCTCCATTTTCAGAGGTATGAGTCCGAGGGTACAGTTTGTTGGGAGCTGGGCCCATTGGTGCACTTTTCTGAGGGCTAGGCCCGTGGTTGCACTTGGGGGCAGCTGGGCCGGTGGTAGTGCTTTGGTGGGGGCTGAGCCCACAGTAGTGCTTTGCAGGGGCAGGGCCCGTGTGTGTGCTTTGAGGGGGACTGGACCTGTGGGTGCATTTGCTGGGATCTGGGCCCGTGGGTGAGGTTCGGATGGTTGGGCTCAGGTGTGTAGCTGCGGGGTCTCCTGGTCCTATACATGCAGCTGGGTGGAGGCTGGGCCCATGTGGGTATTTCGTAGGGCTGGGACGGTGGGGACAGTTGGTGGGGGCTGGGCCCGTAGGTGCAGTTGAGTTGGCCTGGGTCCGGGGGCGTAATTCTGGGGGTGGCTGGCCCCGTGAATGGTGTTGGGTGGGGCTGGGCTCTTGTGTACAGTTGGGTGGGCGTGCTGGGCCCGTAGGTGCAGTTGAGTTGGACTGGGTCCGTGGTTGTAGTGCTGGGGGGGCTGGGTTCGTGGGGGTACCTTGGTGGGGCCGTGCTGGGCCCGTGGAGGACTTTGGCAGGTACTGGGCCTGTGGTTACATTTTGGAGAGGGCTGGGCCAGAGGGTTCTATGCCTGTGGGTGCAGATGGGGCTGGTTGGCCCGAGGGTGCAGTTGGGTGGGGCTGGGCCCATGGGTGCCGTTCTGTGGTGGTAAAGGCCATGGGTT